AAATTTCTATGTGTACCAGAGCAACGTGGTAAAGGTGGTAAAGTTAAATACACATTTCAAAATCGAAACAGTTACCTGCAGCACATAACCTGCAGGCTAAGGATTATCGATTGGATACACAGAAAACATTTACATGTTCCTCAGAGTTACAGAGGCTTCACACTGTGCATCCACTTTGCCATGGGCTTTTGGACACCTACATCACGGAGAATTGTGTTTTTGTGGACTGACCGCCTACTGGGCAGACTTGTTATGCCAGGGTAGGCACTGTCATTCACGAAGCCTGTCCTGTTGCAGACACTGGGTTGCTCGTAGGGCTTAGCCAAATGAGGTTTCCATCATTTCCCTTCCTTGCTAAAGACCCAGATCTAAGCATGCCATTGACTCCATAAACTTGCCCTTTCCCATCATCATTCACATTTTTTTGTAGAAACTATCAGCGCTTTGGGTAGTCCTAACTGTTCTAATTGCTCCAAAGAAGGCTTAAATGAGTTGCATCAGCAAATGAGAGTGGCCCTCTGACCACTCTTAGGATACACAAGCTTGGAAAATAAGGTGTCCCTATCATTAATTAGATTAAAGCAAATGGGACCTAGAAACACGATCACATTAAACTTTTGTTTGCAGTAAGAAGACAACATGTATAAGTTAGACAGAACTAGATAAAAGGTATAATATATTGCCAAATGTTTTTCTTGGATGGAAAATATTAGGGACGTAGTAGAGCCAGAATCTCTAGCTGACTAGACAAGAATCTCTCTCCAGGGATCTGGAAGGGTGTGCAAAGCTCTCCCAGGTCAGAGAGCAGCCCCACCAATGGCTAATATGAGCTCTTTATCACAAACACAAGGAAGTGAGAAGCTGTCAAAGCATTATGTGGCTCTTCTCATTTTGTCTTATAATTCCCAGTGGGATCTTGAAAGAAACCAGCAAACTTCTCATATTCCCACTCTCCCCCTCTGCCAAGTTGAGACAACACTAATTATCACATACTGCCCTCAACTCGCAACAGTTTGAAAAGACTTGGTTTATTTGAAATTTATGGAAATACAACTTGAGGAATTATTCTGTACACAGTGGGTTCTAAAAAGCACTTTTTCTGTGTGGGATATTTCTAGTGGCCAATAAATACAGAAAGCAAGCAAAAAAAAAAAAGAATAGCTTAAAATTGGCTGTGTATTAAAATGGTTTTTACATTATTGCCATGACATGTGGCTGAAATTCATCCATAGGGAGCTGACATATCCTCAAAATGAAATTTGATTTAATGAGTTTTCAAAGATGAGGGGCAAAGTTGCCAGCCCTGTGTTGGACTCTGATAAAACCAATAATTAAAGCCTTCCTTGCTTGATGACATTTGGTTGTGCTGCTCCTCTCCAATAGACTGCTAAGAAGTTACATTTATGTTGCTATATTTCCTTAAAAAAACACATATGAAACCTCGTATTGGTTAGGCCTGTGGATCATTCCACCAATGAAACCGATGTTCGAATAAGTGGATTTTTCCAATACCTGCCAGAATGAGTTACAAAGAACTAGAAGGATTGTCCTGGAAAAGAAGTGTCGCAGAAGAGGAGGGTCATTTGGGAACACTTTGGAGACCAGACCTGGGTGACCTATCATTAAAACCTATGTATTGACTACACCCAAGTTCTCTTGGCTCATTGCCCTTTGATTTCCACAGCTGGGATCACCCAAAACCTGAGACTCAGGCTTCTTTCACATCCTGGTTGATTTTATTGGCTAAGAGTAAGGAGCTTTGACCCATAGTTTAGTATCAACTGAGCCTAGATAATATTAATGGGTCATTATTATCAATATCATTAATTTCTGACCAAACTATTACTGCTTAATAAGTTTAACACATTGGAGACGGATCACGAGAATTCTCACTTCATATTACACAGTGTTTTACAAAGTATCATACTTTAAAAAGATATTAGCTTGTAAGACCATGTAATAAATAACTTCAAAATGCAATGGGTGTTTAATTTTAAAGTGTGCCTTTAACATTTATGTAAAAACTTTTTTGTATTCATTCAGTAGAAACTTATCTGGCCACTGGGTAAAGCTAGCAATAAAACTACTGGTCCGCAATGTGTTTTAAGATGCAGACAGCTCTTTAGTGGGTGTGTGTCTTGGATCTGCCATTTACTATGTGACCTTTCTCTAGTCTCTTCTCTCTAAATTTTAGCTTCCTAATCTCTGAAGAAGAGATAGAACACCTGTATTGATCAATCTATATACACTAGTCTATCCATATACAGGGGTCTAATATACAGTGCTAGTAGAGCTTGTGGTATGTCATAGGTACTCAATAAATGTTATTTTTCCTTTATTGCTCCTTCTTCCTTTCTGTGTTTAAATATAACAAAGCTTTGTGCCATTATAATCACTCATTGTTCATGACTCATACAAGGAGCTGTTGATATTTATGCTAGGAATGATTGTATATCCTTAACATTGTCATACATCTAGAATGGAAATGTAGGTGAGGTTAGTGACTAGGAAAAGTTAGGAATCCGGGCTATGTTTGTTTTTTCCCCTCCTGTGTGTTGGCCCATTAACATGCTTCCATCATGGAGCTTATTACACTATTTTGAAATGATTTGTGGTCAATGTGATTTCTCCTCAAGGACAGAGTTGATGTCTTCATCTTCAGCTTCCCCAGGCCTAACACAGTGTGCGGGTCAGTACGTGTGGCTATGGGTACTTGATCCTGTTCCTCTGCCAAAGGGGGCCTCCCCCAACCTGTTCTGTCTCACCTGACCAGGAAATGAGTCAACCTGCTTCCAGGAGCTCAATCTCTTTAAAGGAGAAACACATACATACGAGAGAGAGAGAGAGAGAGAGAGAGAGAGAGAGAGAGAGCTTTTTAAAAAATGAACCAGATATTAGGTGATCACATTTTTTTAGATTTTTTTGACAATATATTTTTATTGATTTCAGAGAGAAAGGGAGAAGGAAAGAGAGATAGAAACATCAATGATGAGAGAATCATCAATCAGCTGCCTCCTACACACCCCCTACTGGGGATCAAGCCTGCAACCCCGGCATGTGTCCTGACCAGGGAATTGAATCGTGACCTCCTGGTTCATAGGCTGACGCTCAACCATAGAGCCACACCAGCCAGGCTAGATTTTTTTTTTTAATGGTAAACTGCCCCTTGGAATTGACTCCCACAGGCCTAGAGGTCTGTATACCTCAGTAGTTTGCACCTCCTGATCTATATCCAACCCAACGATAGGGCAAAGGGGTAGATATCTACCAAGAAACACAGTCTGAGTTGCAGATATTCATGAGCTTTAACAATTTGGAAACAATATAATTTAGGACTCATGGGTTACTAATATGCAACGGTACATACTAGTATTACTCACAATGTGAGCACCTTCTGGCAATTTTAATTATCATTCTCTGCATAATTAAGTTGTCAACATTGATGGGAAAGAGGATGCATGCTGTAGAAATGTGGAAACTCTGGAGATCGATGTGGGTTGAAATTAGTTTCATGTTTAAAAATAATTATGATAATAATTAGAATTTGCTTGGTACCTGATAATTTACAAAGTGCTTTTACACATTATTTAATTTCACAAAGATTATGAACTGGCCCTTAGGTACTTGATGCCAAACCTTGAACATTGTAAAATGGAATTTAAGGGAAAGTGAGAAAGAAGATAATTAAAAATGCATTGAAAGACAGAAAATCAGCCAAATTCATTGGCAGAGAAATAGATTTGTTTGGCATTTTAGAAACTCAACATATCTTGTAGAAGAAGCTGTTGGCCCATCTTTGGGTTTCACAGTGTTGGCACTGTTTGTTGTTTTGGGGAGAGTTTTTGATGTACCGTTATAATGACGTTTGCTTACTTAACACTGAAAGATGTGCAAAACCAGGAGACATCTGCACCATATTTAGAGGCAAAACCAAGAATGATTGGTTAAATCACTGAATGAAAGTAGAAGAATGATCAGAGGGGAAATATGAGGAGCTGATTAATCGTTCGTTTAAAACTCAGGTATCCACCTCAACTAGTGGTTCTCAACCTTCCTAATGCCGCGACCCTTTCATACAGTTCCTCATGTTGTGGTGACCCCCAATTTCATTGTTACAAATTGAACATAATTAAAGCATAGTGATTAATCACAAAAACAATATGTAATTATATATGTTTTCCGATGGTCTTCGGCGACCCCTGTGAAAGGGTCGTTCGACCCCCAAAGGGGTCGCGACCCACAGGTTGAGAACCGCTGAAGAGAGAATCCAGACTGGCCTGCAGGATGCTAGTGCAGCGAATCCAGACTGGCCTGCAGGATGCTAGTGACAGCCATAGCTTCCTTCCCGCAGCCGCACTCAAGGTTGTTTTCTGTCCCCTCAACATCCTCCTCTAGACCACGAGTTAATAAAACACAAAGGAGGTAGTCAAATGCCGCGCATGTGAACGAGAATGAACCTCCAAAGTCAAAGAGCACCCCACCTGCGACCTCTCCACCACCTCCCTCATTTTTTTATTTTTTTGCCTCTTGCCCTGCCTTGCCTTCAAAATGCAAGCTTCTGTGGGTTGCCAGGAAAGGAGAGATGGGATTTAATATTGGGACAGCCAGGCAGGGACCAAGTCAAGTTTCTAGATTACACAGGAAGCCAGCATCATCGGAGAGCCACGGAGGCAGCCCCAGAACCGCGCGCGGGTGTCGCCGGCTCAGCGTAAGCCTTTCCAGATGTGGCCGCGCGCCGCCGGAGCCTGGCGGCGCTCCAGGAGGCCGCCTGCAGTCGGCGCACTCGGGGCCGCAGCGCCAGCCGCATTGCCCGGCTCCCGCCAGGCGCGGGGCTCGCGGCAGCCCGGTCCCTGTTCCCGGCCCCCGGCCGCCTGGCAGAGCCGCAGCCCGCAGCCCCGGGAGGGCGCCTGCAGCTGGAGGGAGCGGGAGCGGAGCAGAATGGTCGCGGCGCCAGGGCAGCAGCCCTGAAGTCCTTCGCGGGGATGGGGGACCCCGAGGCCCACGTGATGGCGCGGCCCCTGAGAGCCCCTCTCCGGAGGTCCTTTAGTGATCACATCCGAGACTCCACGGCCAGAGCCCTGGATGTTATCTGGAAAAACACCCGAGACAGACGGCTGGCAGGTGAGGGGCGAAGGGGAGGGGGCGGGGGGAGGGGCGGTATTAACAGGAAAACAATTAAATACACCGGCTCAGTGAGGAACGCGGGTCATTTATGAGCCCATCAGCCGGGTAAAGTTCCTCACTGTCACGGCGGTGCCCTCAGTCTCCCTCTGACATGTAAGGCTTCTGCAGTGTTTGGGGTTTGGGGTGTGTCGTTTTCTCCCTGTGATGCCTCCGTCTGATTAATTCTAGAGAAGGTTTTATGAGAGGTGCTTTCTGTGGTGGTGGGGTGTTGTTTTTCCCCTTGAAAAACCAAGCGAGATCCTTACGCGTATCAGGAAATCGGTGGGGGTGGGCCGCCTCGGGCAGACGCACGGGGATCCGCTAGGCAGCTGGGGTCAGCTGCGGAGCTGGGGTCCGAGGTGGCCTGGCAGGCGCGCAGGCGAGGGGCCCGGGCGGGCGGGCGGTGTGTCAGTGGAGTAATCCGCGCTGCCCAGTCGGAGCTGCTGGTATTTCCTCTGGCAGCTGGAGCTGCGCTGAGTTCCAAGAGTGTGTCAGGTATGCTGGAGGCCGGCATTTGAAATATAATAAAGCATAACTACAGTGGTGCAATTCAAACGTCCGAGGGCTCATGTGACAGCGACCAAATGGCAGGCTGTGTTTGCAGGGCCACGCCAAGGAGACGGGAACTTCTGCCTCATTCTGGTGTTAAGACTATTCAGAAATGGATCCCGCATAGCATTGCCAACAAGCAGGCAAGAGAACTCCACATCCCGAAAAGCTCTCCCAGTCGTGTTGAATGGCTCTGTCTTGTTTGCTGTCTAAGTCTGTATACTGATGTCATCTGCACAGATGGGTCAAAGATTATGTTTTCTTTACCCTTTTGGTTAATCCAGTTGTTTTTCATATGCTGAGTGAAGCTCTGCGTTGTTGAAAATATTAGAAGTGTCAGTCCGGACTTCTGTGCTGTGTGCTCTCAATAAAAGGTCCTTTGACTTTCACACAATTGTCCCAACATGACTTGAAAAGAAGGAGTTTAAGGTTTGTGACTGTGATAAAGGAGATTATGAAGATAACATACTCGTTACCTAATCATGGTAAGCTGGAAATTTTTCCTAAATGCTCATAAAAATCTTTCTGTTAAATTAAACGATATTGCCCAGGACTGGGAGAGAATAAACAGTGTTGTCTAACCATAGCTAGGGGAGATGGAGCAGAATATTTTAAATTTAACCATTTTAGTGTGGCTTTATAGTAAAATGTGATACCTTAAAGAAATCCAGCTTTCCATATTAAGGCAGGTTTTTTTTAAAGTGTTCTATCTAGTGATAAACATTTGTATTTGGCTAGAGGAAGTTTAAGAAATAAGATATGGGAATATAAAATTCACAACTATAATTGTTTGACCCCCCCCCAAAAAAATAAGGTGATTGCTTTATTTTTGTCTTGTTTGACAAATTCATTGTCACAAATGGAAGGATTCCACAAATAGTGTCTTGTAAAGATGACACAAACATATCTTACTGTGGTTGGGTGTTTTAATTTGATAGTAAGACTAATTCAAACATTCCAGCATCCCAGACTTCCCCTTCCATTTTCATAAATGAGGAGCTTTTGACAGCTGTTGACTTCTGAGAATAAGAATATGATCCCTGGAAAAATGCTGTCTCTGTTTTGTCATTTGTCTATTAAATGGTTATAAGTATATTTTTATTGATTTCAGAGAGGAAGGGAGGGGGGGATAGAAATATCAATGATGAGAGAGAATCATTGATCAGCTGCCTCCTGCACGCGCCCCCCCCCCCACCTCCCCCACTGGGATCAAGCCCGTAACCGATGGTCAACCACTCAGCCACACCGTCCGGGCTTGTCTGTTAAATATTAATGGTCTATATGGAGTCAAAACTAGAGCATCGAGTGAAAAATACTTAGAGAAAATTAGTTACTTTTTATGTGCGATGAAACATTAAACAGGTCCACTGGAGGAAGAAATTCTTTGTATTGCCCAGTTTTCCTAAGATGAGTACGACCTCTTAGGCACTTCGCACAGTGGAGCATCCAGGTTCTGTACTGGAAAGGAAAGGGCTTTGGCTACCACAATGGACTGATTTCTGGGGCCTCGGACCCCCTCTGTGTCCTCCCCTGTTCTTGGCACGTGGCTTGGAGCTCCGTCAGTGTTTGTCCAATGGAGACCGACTTGGTTCACATCCAAACCTCAAGAGCACTCATTCTATCCTTTCCCTCAAACTTCTCCCCTGCACCCCACCCTCCCACTGACCAAAGACTTTAGCTGTTAATTATCCACAAGAAGTCACTTCTCCAAGCATCGGTACACTCCATTCTATATCCTCCCACTTGGCCCTCTCTTGCGGAATGGAGGGCAATAGGAAGTCCAAACCTCTCCCTTCACTTTATGTTGTGAAATTAATCAGGTGACAGATGAGAAGTGTTTTGAAGCCCCATAGGAAAATACTTCAGTAAATAGTCCCTGAAACATTATTTCTATGACAGTCATTTCATGTAGTTTCTCAAAAACTAACCCGAGATTTCAGTTTCTTCCATAGTGCTGGGCCAAGAGACAAAGTTTTAACTTTCCTTGTTAGATATTTTCTCTATCAGTCAATCTCTCTCTCTCTCTCTCTCTCTCTCTCTCTCTCTCTCTCTCTCTCTCACACACACACACACACACACACACACACACACACACACACTCTACATAACTTAAGAGTTCCTAGTTCTGCCCCAAATGATGCCATGTACAAAAACCACCATATACCTCTTGTTACCTTAAACTCCCTTATGTCAAAAATAGGAATTTCATCTGTTATGTTTAAATATCCACAGCCTTATAAAAACACAGTACAGAATTGCTGCTAGAAAAGGCCTTTAGGTTGTGAGGAGTGACAGAACAGACTGTTTTATTACATGCTCCTTTATATGTAACTAGAGGCCCGATGCACGAAATTTGTGCAAGAGTAGGCCTTCCTTCCCCTGGCTGCTGGCACCGGCTTCTCTCTGGCACCAGGATCTGGGCTTCCTTCCCTCACAGCCCTGGCTTTGTCCAGAAGGACGTCTGGTCTAATTAGCATATTACGCTTTTATTATTATAGATTGCCTTTCTCTGCCCAACCACACAACCCTCTTCTCTCTACAACCATTATTCCCAAGCCCACAGGTACACTGTCTTCTTTCCTAAGCACAGAGGATGGCATTGGGTCTTCAGGGAATTGGAACTTTGGGTGAAAGATGGGGTCAACAGTCCTTCTGTCTTACACTTCCTCTGTGTCCTCACCACTCCTCTGCTTCCGCCCGGCCTCCCCTTGAGCCCAAGGACATCTTGGCATCAGGGTGCATTCATTCCTTAAAACCTCTTGCCCTTGTAATCCTTGTGTATAGGGTCATGTAGGGGTTCTTAGCCTTTTTTGTGCCAACTGGTCTCTAGCATTCTGGTGAGGCCTGTGGATCACTTCTCAGGATAATACTTTTAACATAAGTAAAATACATAAAATCTAAAGGGAACCAATACTAATAAAATGTAGTTATCGAGGTATTTAATATTCAAAACTCAAAGTTGTGATAGAGTAATACAACATGAATGAATTATATAATACGCTATTGTGTTTAAAATATAAGGAAGTAAATTTAAATTAAGTATTTTTTAAAGATCCCAGATTTATTATTGCTTCGCTAGAGTCAGAACATTAAACTGTACAGTAGCTTTGGATTCATCTCCTTGTCGCCAACCATCATAGGTAGGGAATACTGGGGAGCAACATCCATACCCAGGTCACCAATGTGCAAACCTTCAACTTTCCAGTTTGGTAGTTGAGTGGGGCCAGCAATGTCACATGAACATCTGTGGACAGAAAAACTGCACTCATGTGTGATCAGGGGCAGCTTTGATAACTACCATACCTGTACAGCAGGGATGTGTGTAAGTGGTATTTTGTGATTTCTGCAACAACTGTTAATGAATGGAAAAGTCTGCGGTGACAGTCACAGGGACAACTGATACCATGGTGTGTGTGTTGGCGGGGAGGGGGCGGAGGTTCAGCTTGTCAACCCTTATCATTAGAAGAAACGTGAAGTTTCCATTAGAATTTAGTGAAACTAGAAATGAAATTGTTTCCATCCAAGTTCATGGACACCCTGAATTCTATCCATAGACCCTAGATTAAGAATCCCTGCTTAATCCCTGTAACTTCCAAATAGTTCTCATCAATAGTTATCAGAGTCTGAGATACTGGGCTGTCATACGTGAGATGGCTGGAATTCCTTGATGTACCAGTATATTTCCCAAAGCTCCACCAATGATTGAACTGATACACCAGCAAGACTGCCTCTGAGGAAGAATGAAAGAAACTAAATTCAGACTAGAAAGAGACAGAAGACTGAAAGCAGGGCAAAGCCCAGACTATACATGTACAGTAGCTGTCATCAACTGGGAAGGTGGAATGAACAAATAAACCACAAAAGAAAATAAACATTAGTCTTTCTTTAACATCTAGTAAGGTAAGGACAACTTATATAGTGTAAAATACACTGATTTATAAAAATATTCAATCAATTCTTACTATTAGGGAAACATGACATAGAAGGAAAAAATATGAATGCCTCAACCTGCTATGAGACATGTGGCACTGCTTCTAGAGCTAAACATTCAAAAGAGGAAGAAAAACTGAATTGTCTATAAAGAAGGCAAAAAAAAAATGTAGACAAATCTCAACCCAGATGAGATTCAAGAGACATAAAATAAATTCTTCAAGTATCTACATCAGGTTGGATCCCCCTGGGATATTTTGCTCAGCATCATCTGTCTTTTGTGAAATAAATTTTTACCTTTCAGCTGACCAGGTCTCTGATTCACTAGCAAAAGGAATGCTTGACATGCTGTGTGATACGCTGGCTTTCAATTCCATGGGGCATCAAGAACCCTGGCCCACTTCCCATGGCAGGCAACCACAAACACTGACTTTGTGAACTGTTTTCTGTTCTTTGGATCACAGTGCAAAGCAAGTAAG